CGTCCTGTGCGAAAGCACAATGAGTCCGTGCTGCTTCTGCACCGCATACACATACTGTATACGCACTGCAGACAGAGTATGTGTGAACTTGGCGCAACAAATCTAGTTCAACATCTGAGGCAACGCCACAAAGAGCTCTATGACCAATGCATGGCAAAAAAAAATCCCTGGACACTGGATTTTTTATTTTTTTTTTCTGCCATATATGTCTATTCTAGAGACATTTTGTTACACCTTTACTTAGTGATTATTTTGCCTTATGTCTGTTCTAGAGACATGTTACAGCTTTTTGATAAAGCTCTAATTGGTTTTCTTTTGGAAATATGTTTCAAATTCACACTGAATGCATTAATGACTGTAAAGCATGTCTGTGTGTGTCAAAATCGTGATTAAAATCGAAATCGCAATATTGATCAAAGAAATCACGATAGGTTTTTTTTGTCCATATCGCACAGCCCTACTCATCATGATGATGCATAAAAGTTTTTTGGCCTGTTTTATCATCCAATGTGATTGCTTAGTAAAGTAACAACACATTAAATCTAGTAATGACATTTTAAACAGACTCATTGGTTTTGGAAAGTCGGTGGACGACTAACAAGTGATCAAAGCACAGCTGCTTAGTTCTCAGTGAGGACTGCTCGAAAACAGCTGCAGATTTGACTGAACTAGATGTTGGATCTGAAGTTATGATAACTGCGTTCAGTCTATTTGGATCTTCTCCCGTGTTTCACAGCATTAACAGTTCATTTCATGAGGAAGAACTTCCAACTTAAAAACTGCTGACAAATCAGCAATTTTACATCTATTTATGATGATCTTTGGATCTCACCAAATCTCTGTAAACTCCTTCTGACTTGTTCTCCATCCATGGCTTTTCTCTCTCTTCTCGTCTTCTTTGATAGGTGTCTCGGTTCTTGTAGGTGGATCCTGGATTGGCGAGGTTTCCGCCTGCATTGCCCCCACCGCCGAACGTACGCGTCTATCACAAACAAAGAGAAGACAACAGATGCACAATGAAAAAACATAAGACACTGGTGCATCTCCAGCATTTTTAGATCAGATTTCTTCTATTAATTTAATAACACAACTATAGAACAACGAACAGCATTTCTGGACATCATAAGTGCGCTTTAAAAGTTCAAATCAAACTGAGTTTTGAAACACAGCCCAGGTGCTGCCGAGGCAAAGTGTTTAATCATTTATGTGGTGTTCACTTATCACGTTACATTTGTAATTACACACTCAAAATCAAACATTTCTTAATTAAATATCGGAGAATATTAAGTTCACCCATGGCCTAAGGACGTAGTCATGAGAATGAACAAATTCAATTACACATTGCTTTAATATATCAATATTTCATTATCAAAAGGTGCTACTTCGTTGCAGGAGATGAAAATCATATGTATTCTGAATTGAAATTCCAATATATGACCCTGGAGCACAAAAGCAGTCTTAAGTCGCTGGGGTATATTTGTAGCAACAGCCAAAAATACATTGTATGGGTCAAAATTATAGATTTTTCTTTTATGCCAAAAATCATTAGGATATTAAGTAAAGATCATGTTCCATGAAGATATTTTGTAAATTTCCTACCGTAAATATATCAAAACTTAATTTTTGATTAGTAATATGCATCGCTAAGAACTTCATTTGGACAACTTTAAAGATGATTTTCTCAATATTTAGATTTTTTTGCACCCTCAGATTCCAGATTTTCAAATAGTTGTATCTCGACCAAATATTGTCCTATCCTAACAAACCATACATCAATGCAAAGCTTATTTATTCAGCTTTCAGATGATGTTGACCCTTATTACTGGTTTTGTGCTCCAGGGTCACACATCTTTGTACAATGCAAAAAAACTACAATCTGAGGATTATATGACATAGGTCAAAAGTTTGGAATAATTAGGATTTTTAAATGTTTCAGAAATAAGTCTCTTCTATTCATGTCTGTATTTGCATTTTTTTAAACCAAAAATACAGAAACAACAGTAAAATTATGAAATAGTAATGCAATTTAAAAGTTTTCTATTTGAATACACTTTAAAAAATGTTTTTTTACAGCATTGATAATAATGTTTGAAATGTTTGTTGAGCAGCAAATCAGCATTTTAGAATGATTTCTGAAGATCATGTGACACTGAAGACTGGAGTAATGATGCTGAAAATACAGCTTTGATCAGAAATAGAAATAGAAAAAGTTATTTTAAATAGCAATAATATTTTTAACATTTTCTGTATTTTTGATCAAATAAAATGTAGCCTTGGAGAGCAAAAGAGGCTTCTTTAAAAATCTAATAAAAAAATAATACAATTCCAAACAGTGCTGTATGATCATTTCGCAAGAACAACATCAAACACACCTCTTTACTCCTGGCGACCTCTGCGATAGCAGCGATTCTTTGTTTCTCAAACTCATCGTTGTCGTCAGCAGATTTGACAGCGTTGGTGCTCTGCAGGGTCTTCCTCTGGTCCAGAGCTCTGCTGTCCACCTGCTCCTTATGAGCACATTTCTACAGAGAGATGCCAGCAGCTTAGACACCATCCATCCATTTACAATCAAATCAACCTCATAAATAACCAGAAGGTCAAAGGTCACAATGAAAGAAGCTGAAGGAGTCCTGACCTGTCCAAAGGGAACGAATGGAGGAGGTCCACCTTCTGCGCCAATGTTTCTTCGGCTGTGTTTGGCGAGGCTCTTTTGTGAGAAAAAGAGTTAAACGTTTCATTAGATATGTGAATGTAGTGTAACAGTCCTGTTTTAGTATCAGTGCAATACTATTATAGTTTATATTAATATTTTGAATTTTATTTTCCAATTTTAAATTGTAGTTAAAGTTTTAGTAATTTTGTTGTGTCATTTTGAATAAAAATGTCTATATAGTTATTTATTTTTTTATTTCCATTTTAGTTACTGCAGTACATCACGTTATTAAAAAATGTAATTAAAATGAGAAATGCTGCCTTGCATAAAATAACCTTTTTATTTGTTAACATTTATTTTATTTCAAGTACCAAAATAAATTTTCATGGTTTCCAGTTTTAGTTAACTATAATAATAACCCTGCTCCATAAGGGAGAATAATCTTTGGACTGAAGTTATTTACTCATCAAGATGAATAAAGCAATGCATCTTCATGCTATCTGGCTTTGATTGATAATTAAAATAAATCATCTGTTGCCAATGTGCCATCCATCAGTGAGCTAGAACATGATGAATATTAACAGATGGTTACAGACACTGACACTGTGACTTCTGTTTCTTAAGTTTTAATGAATAGAACCTTTAAAGGAGTCACATTTTACACTTTTGCATTTAAATTTTTTCCCCAGAGCCCACTTATAACGAAGGTTTCCTGCGTCGAAAATTAGTGTAGTTTCATGTTTTACACCAACTCTGACACTCAAGAGTTAAACAGACAGCTTGTTTCTATGGCATATTAAAGAATTCTGAACCTCACCCTCTGCAACTCCCACTTCTCGATCATGTGATCCACTTCACCTCCGAGAACCGTGATCTTGGAATCGTCCAATAGCAGGATGCCGTTTTTAACCTGAACGGCCCCCAGGAGCTTCACTTTGGTTCCAGGAGGAGTGTTCAGACTGAAAGTGGAGCAGAAATCAAATTAAAGGGTTAAATCAATTGCGTTCTTTTAAATAAACGGAGTGAAACACTGAAAACGTTTGAGTCAGCAAGGTTTTTGTTTTATGTGAAAGAAGTCTCTTCTGCTCACCAAGGTTGTATTTGTTTGATTAAAAATACAGTAAAATTTGGAAATATTACTACAAATTTTCTATTTGAATATCTGTTAAAATGTAATTTATTCCTGTGATCAAAGCTGAATTTTCAGCATCATTACTCCAGTCTTCAGTGTAACATGATCCTTCAGAAATCATTCTAATATGCTGATTTGCTGCTCAAGAAACATTTATGATTATTATCAATGTTGAAAACACTGACACATTTTTTTAAATATTCTTTGATGAACAAAGTTCAAAAGAACAGCATTTCTTTGAAATAGACATATTTTGTAACATAACATGTCTTTACTATAATTTGTAATCAATTCATTGCATCCTTTCTGAATAAAAGTAATACAAATCTTATTGACCCCAAACTTTTGAACAGTAGTGTAAAAAAAACGAAAGACAAAAAAAATGGATATTATATTTTAAATAAAGACAATGTCTATTTTTAAAAATATTAAGATTTGATCACATTTTTAGCAGTTTAATAACAAAATTTAAATTTACTTTAAAATAAGTAAAAATTTACTGCATTATACAGCAAATAGAAATTTTATAATTCTTTTTTTTTTTACAAATATTTGGAGTTTAATTGTAATCAAGATGATGTCAAAGTCTTAATATTCTTAAAATAAGCATAATTTTCTTCACACAAGTTTTCTTTCTGAATCCCTTTTAATTATGTGGTATATTGTGAACCAGGGATTTCTTGAGAGTTTTCCAGAGATTCACCCAAAAAATAGGTCGGTTTTCCTTATTTGGCATCTGCAATGACTTTCCAAGAAAAAAAAAAAAAGTGAGTGAGAGAATTAAAAATTCATAATTGCACATCTCTGCTTTACTTGCTTCTATTTCCTGGTTGTCAATCAGGTTTTTTCTCTCCGATGTGTTTCAGCTTTAGTTAGTGAGAGGCATTTGCTGTAAATTGGGATTAAGAACTGGCTGTTTGACTTTAATTAAAGATTAAAGGGGGGAGAAAGGATGGATTGAGAGAGAGGAAGAAACTCTATTTTCCCTCACAAACACTCTAATACCCAGAGGAACGAAGTGGAGCAGTGAATTTTCCAAAACGCAGGCTTATTTCCTCAAATATGTCCCCTTGCCTGCACCCTGATCAAATGTTAATGCACCGCTCTGCACTGCAGAAGAAGCTCCTGCTAAAAATACACCGCACGCACACCTCCCCGCTCTCCTACACGCCAAATAAACTCGCCCTCAAGCATACAAGTGGAGTCGGACTTTCCCTGGTCCTCTAATTAGGAGAGTCCGGAGAGTTTGACAGCACTCAATGTGTGACGTGACCAGCGCAATTACAGACTTTCCTGACCGGTTCATCGGCACAAAGCTCAAAGCGATGTAGGATTCGATACAAACTCTCTCGTTTGTTCCAGTACAATGCTTGCTGTTCTTTCAAACAATCTCACTTTCATTTGAAGGTGAAATAATTATTTGAAATGAGTGACACTAAACTGAATTGTAAAAATAACTCCGTCTCATTGTTGTAATGTAAATAACCAAAGTCAAACTACAGTTTATATACATGTTGAAATAATGGACGTGCTTTCTGTGCAAATGAATGAAGAAAGCTTTGGTTTCATTTGCATGCACTTCTTTTTAAATACACTGAATGAAACACTGAAAAGTTTAGGGTCGGTAAGGTTTTAAAATATTTGAGTCTCTTCTGCTCACCAAAGCTGTATTTGATCAAAAATACTGTAAGAAATTGTGAAATATTATTACAATTTAAAATAACTGTTTTCTATGTGAATATATTGTAAAATGTAATTTATTCCTGTGATTAAAGCTGAATTTTCAGCATCATTACTCCAGTCTTCAGAAATCATTCTAATATGCTGATTTGATGCTCAATAAACATTTCTGATTATTATCAATGTTAAAAACAATTGTTCTGCTTAATATTCTTTGATGAATAGAAAGTAAAAAAAAAAAAAAAACTGCATTTATTTGAAATCATAATCTTGTTTTGTGAAATAATTCAAATTTGACACCAAACCGAACTGTAAAAACAACTTCGTCTTATTCATAATGTACATAACCAAAGTCAAACCACGGTTTATAAGTGTGCAAAGCCTTCGTACACACTTTAAAATAATGCATGTCTGTTCTGTGCTTGAATAAAGGACGCTTTGGGTTCAGATGAACAGTGGATAGTTTCATTCTGCATGTTAGCGGCAGGGATGGATGAAGGAGAGAGTGAGCCAAAGAACAGATGAATAAAGAGGGCTCTGTTCTTCAAACGGCACGACAACACAGTCTCCACCTGTAGCTGCTGGCCGACGGCCATCACGACGGCTGATGCCCGGCCAGAGCGGTAATGGAGACATGGGATTGGTGAGGTTTAAGCCAATCAAAAGGTCTGAAACCGGGGTTAAAGGAAGGAGAGTACAAGAAAAGGGCAGAAAAGGTCGTTTGAGTTTGAAGCGGCTTTACAAGATTGCACAGTGTCAGATTTCATGGAGTAAAAGTAACAAGAAGATACTATTTCAGTCTTTTCTACTTCGAAATGTCATGTTTAACTCAATGTGTTATTTGCAATTTGTTTATAACAGTTTCTGAAACTTACTAGCAATTTCAAAGTAAACCTTACACCACTTTTTTTCAGTGTAACACAGAGCTGTTATTTTAGAGAAATATTTCACCCAAAAATGAAAAAGTGCTGATAATGTACTCACTCTCAGGCGATCCGAGATGTAGAGGAGTTTGTTTCCTTATCAGAACAGATTTGGAGAAATGTAGCATTGCATCACTTGCTCAGCAATGGATGCTCTGCAGTGAATGGGTGCCGTCAGAATGAGAGTCCAAACAGCTGATAAAAACATCACAATAATCCACACCACTCCAATCCATCAGTTCACATCTTGTGAAGGCAAAAGCTGCGTGTTTGTAAAAAAAACAAATCCATTATTAAGATGTTTTTAACTTCAAACCAGCTAAAATATGAGTCCTCTATTTATAACATTGCTTACTTCGGTTAAAAAGTCGTCTGGTCTGAATCAGGAGAGAAATCTGCACAGATACAAGCCAAAACAGCTCTAAACAAATATGTGGCTGGATTTTGATGTGAGAGACAACAGGAGATGGTCTTTTTCACTGGAGGACAAGTTATTATGGACTCATATTTTGGCCTGAAAATAATTGTTTGAGGTTTAAAAACATATTAATGATGAATTTGTTTCTTACAAACACGCATATTTCAGCTTCATAAGACATTAACTGATGGACTGGAGTGGTGTGGATTATTTGTGGATTATTGTGATGTTTTTATCAGCTGTTTGGACTCTCATTCTGACGGCACCCATTCACTGCAGAGCATCCATTGCTGAGACACTGATGCAATGCTACATTTCTCCAAATCTGATGAAGAAACAAACTCACCTACATCTTGGATGGCTTGAGGGTGAATACATTTTTAGCTAATTTTAATTTTTGTGTGAACTGTTCCTTTAAGCATCATGGTAATTTTTGTTCATATTAAGGCTAATGATTTAAACAAACCCTTCACATTAAGTAATTACAATTAAGGGTGCATTTTGTCATGCATTTGTAACTTCACAATTCAAAGCTGTGTATACACTATTTAATTATAAAATGACAAAAGTTGTTTTAAGCAGTTGACACGTTCAGTAAAAAACTTATAGTAACGCATGAATCAATGCAACAACAGAGACACATTCTTGGCATGCAACCTGAATCTTACTTGCACAAAGACGCTGTTTTTCCGCATTTCAAAATGACATTGATGTTTTAGGTTCCTGGAGTGAAAGAGAAAATGAACCTGAAGTAACCTAAAAAGCAGCGCAATAACATGACCCTGAATGACTCTGTGAACATCAATTCATAGTGAAAAAAAAAAAACTTTTATGCGGCTCCCCACTACATCAAAACGTCTTTAGTCTGGCTCAAGGCAATTACAGGACCTCTTTATCATATTAAGAGCTACATTTAATCATATGGCGGGTTTTTGGCCTCATTATGGGCCACTTCACTGTGTCCGACGGGCCGAGACATTATTTCATTAAATCATACGGCCCAATTAGACATGCTTCAATTAAATATCTGAGGTACTAGATTCTACAGCCACTCATTCATAAAGGTGAGTGAGGGAAGTTTAAAACCGCAGTCACTTGCCAAAACTTTACGTTTACGCTTTAATGTCATGTTTGATAGCAATAAGTTTGAATAAATTAGCCAAAATCTGTAATAAGGTGGAGGGAACTTTCTACAGATCTCTACGGGCACAGATTCCACATCACTCATACTATTTCTGATGTAGTGTGCATAGTAAGCATACTTCATGAATACATGCAAATCCCACATGCATTTGCCATGTGTACTATAACCACATGAAATTCTGTAGCCCACAATGCAATGCTCTTGAGTTGACATTGCATTACGAATGTGAGATGAATGAAACAAAGGGATAGTGCACCCTCTGATTTACTCACCCTCAAGCCATCCTAGGTGTACGTGACTCTCTCGTGAACGCGTGTACGACAGTTAGCGGAAGCTAGAGATTACGGTTTAAAATGTAAAATAAAGGTTTAAATATGGATATTATTCTTGCACAAACGCATTGATTCGCTTCAGAAGCCCCCGGAGCTTGTGGAGCACGTTTTATGACGGAAGAATGCACTTTATTGGACTTCAAAATCTCTAAATTACCATATTTATTTACGAGATGATAACTGTACGCCACTCGCTGAATTAAACATGCAACATAATGGAGTCATGTAACAACACTGCAGCATACTACTGTCTGATTATTTAACGCTGCATGTTGCATACTATTTCACATACTATTAAATAATAACAAGTGTTTGGAGTCGATCATTTTTTTTAAAGAAATTAAATTATTTTATTCAGCAAAGGTGCGTTAAATAAATCAAAAGTGACAGTAAAGACATTTATAATGTTACAAAATATTTCTGTTTCAAATAAACGCTGTTCTTTTGAACTTTCTATTCATCAACGAATCCTGAAAAAAATGAACGTATCACAGTTTCCTCAAAAATATGAAGCAGCACAACTGTTTTCAACATTGCTAATAATCATAAATGTTTCTTGAGCAGCAAATCAGCATATTAGAATGATTTCTGAAGATCATGTGACACTGAAGACAAGAGTAATGATGCTGAAAATTCAGCTGCGCATCACAGACATAAATTATACTTTCAAATTATTTATTTATATTTATATTTAAAATATAAAATTATATTTTGAAATGTCATTCCTGTCATTGTTAAATCTACCACAACTCTTACTAGGCATCCACTAATTAGTGAACTAATTAGTATTTTTTTCTGATTTTACTTTTAGCTTCAAGTGCAAGTGGATGAATGAATTTTAAATGGAAGAAATTATTTTAGCACACCATCATTAAGTATTATCATACTATCAGACGTCAGCATGATTCAATCCCATTAAACCAGCACCATCTTGCTGCAATTAGCGTCCCACATTAAGAACAGGAAATGTGTCAACCTGGACCTGACTGTCAATTAGTCTAATTATACAAGGGCATTAGTTCCCACTGACAAGCTGATGTAGTTTTACACATCCCTACTTGCAAGTAGTGCATTAAAATGACAAGGAAGGTCCAAATATCCACAGACACATGAGCTGTACCTGATTTTGGACAGATGTTTGAACTCAAGGCCGGTGCACGATGTCTGTCCGTCCGTCATCTGCAGACGCAGCATTCTGGGCGCCGCCTGCGACTCCTCGTGATCTTTAGAAGCGGCGACATTACGAATCTTCTGCACCTGAAGGACACATGGGCCCTCCAACTGCGGCAGAACGAGAGGGATTTCGCATCAAACAGATAAAACACTCCAATGTAATGCATCAAGCTCATAAACATGTGGGTTTAAATTAGCGTTACAGAGAAACGCAGCTCTCAGAAACCAGATCCCAGTCATTATTCTGCAGTAATGTCACGTCCTTTTGCCCAAACAAATGTTCTTTTACCTCCATCTATCTTTATTTCAGCCTCTGCTAATGTTCTCTTTAATAACAGCGCCATCTTGTGGGCAGCATTAGCAAGTGCAAAAAGTCTATTTATATTATAATTATGCATTATGTTAGATTTCAGCTTAAACTGGCAAAATCCAGTTTCTAATGATCAACATAAGTCAAGCCGGTTATTTTAATACACAAATGTACCTTTTCTATTCGTCCACTGTTGATGTCCGTCGGCAGAAAGCTCTTTCCTATGGGTCTCAGATCACTCTGTGAATTATATAATGGTATTTATTTGTGTTCGCTTTCTCAGTGTGTAGATGCTACTATGGAAGAGCCTAAACCAAAATATACATGAACACAAATGGACAAAGACATATTACATGAGTAAATAGAAAACGGAAAGGGTAAATATAAAAGGAAACTACTTACGTTTAGTGCTACTTGGATGATGTCAGTCAGTGATGTTTTTTCCTTCTCTGATGAACTTTTACACTCCGCGATTCCTTCATCTGTAAGGTACCTGTGAAGAAAAGAGCAGGTTTAGAGGAAAAGTGTGTGATTTCAGCCAGGGATTTTCAATATTTTACACACTAAGAACCCTCAAATATGAGGGGGAAAAAGCATGTATGTAGTTTCTTGTATAAAATTTAAAAAAAAAAAGATTTACACTGTGAAAAAATATTACTATAAATACCTAAAAACATTTAGTTGCTATTAAGTTTTATCATTCCATTTTTTCCCTTCTCATTACAGTTCTCTACTATTACATGTATTATTTGTTTAATTATTTCAATCTAAATATTTACTAATTACTTTCATAGTTTACTGATTTCATATATATATATATTATATATAATTGTATTTTTTCCAATATTAATTTTTATTATTTATTTATTTAAACTTTTCTGTGGCTCTGAATTTATCACTGTCAGTGAAAGTAAATTAAACTGTATCTTTACTACAGCACATAAAGCGACTATAGGCCCTTTCGCACCGCGGGAACCTTTTCATAGTACCAGAACTAATTGTGGAACTACCCACTTTTTGGCGTTTTCGCACCGCCGGAACTGGGTGCGATTTTAGTACCGGACTGCCTTTTTCGAGAACCAAATATCTGATAAAATACCACCTCAGCTGCATATCTGATAAAATACCACCTATCTCTATCTGATAAAATACCACCTCGGCTGCATATCTGATAAAATACCACCTCAGTTGCATATCTGATAAAATACCACCTCAGTTGCATATCTGATAAAATACCACCTCAGCTGCATATCTGATAAAATACCACCTCAGCTGCATATCTGATAAAATACCACCTCGGTTGCATATCTGATAAAATACCACCTATCTCTATCTGATAAAATACCACCTCGGCTGCATATCTGATAAAATACCACCTCGGTTGCATATCAGATAAAATACCACCTCGGCTGCATATCTGAAACGCTGTGTAAACATACTGTAAACATTGTGTCAATTTATTTCGCAAGTATGGAGAACAGCGATAGATGGACGGACACTGAAGTGCAGGCACTTGAGGCAAATGTAGCACTGCCAGTTGTGTTGGAGATTCTTAGTCCTCCTTTCCGTTCTTTCAATCGCTTTACGTATACGTCGACTTTCCATGTCCATTTTTAATATCTGAACATACTTTTATTTCTCCCACTGTCACACTTACTTTTCAGACATTCACCTTATTTATATAACATTTTCTTCCTAAAAACATACTGATGTATTTTGTTTTGTTTTTTGTTCCCTGGCTGCTAACAGTATTTTCTAACTTACCGACGTGATAAGAGAACTACGAAATCTACTTTGTGGAACAACTCTGATAGGTGAACAAAATATGTTCTGGAAAATTATGCAAATTAGTGCATATCTGATAAAACACCACCTCGGCTGCATGTCTGATAAAACACCACCTCGGCTGCATGTCTGATAAAACACCACCTCGGCTGCATGTCTGATAAAACACACCACCTCGGGCATGTCTGATAAAACACCACCTCGGCTGCATATCTGATCAAAGACCACCTCAGCTGCATATCTGATAAAATACCACCTCGGCTGCATATCAGATAAAATACCACCTCGGCTGCATATCTGATAAAATACCACCTCGGCTGCATATCTGATCAAATACCACCTCGGCTGCATATCTGATCAAATACCACCTATCTGATAAAATACCACCTATCTCTATCTGATAAAATACCACCTCAGTTGCATATCTGATAAAATACCACCTATCTGATAAAATACCACCTCAGCTGCATATCTGATAAAATACCACCTCAGTTGCATATCTGATAAAATACCACCTCAGTTGCATATCTGATAAAATACCACCTCAGTTGCATATCTGATAAAATACCACCTCAGTTGCATATCTGATAAAATACCACCTCAGTTGCATATCTGATAAAATACCACCT